CTGACAGTACTGCATTTTCTTTGCTGATGCTTTGTGGCCAGTCTTTTGGAGGTGCTGGAGAAGCATGTGTGTAGCAGTTTGACATAGTTTTTCACTTTCAGCACAGAGGAGGAGGTCATCCACATGTGGATCAGGGTGCAGCCCTGGAGGAGTGAAGCACCATTGAGAAAGCAGCAGAGCTGTCTATCATGCCTTGGGGCAAACGAGTCCAAGTGTACTGCTTATTTCTATGTGTGAATGCAAATAACGGCTGTGTGTCTTCATGAGAAAAAGGAGCGGAGCATAAATCCACCACGGGAAAATGTGTATGCAATGCATGTCAATATGCTGTGAACATCTGAAACGAGAGGTGGCAGAGGAATGTTGACTGCATTAATTTGCCTTAAGTCTTGTATGAAACGCCATACGCCAGGTTTGTTAGGCTTTGGCACAGGATTGACAGGAGTGTGGGCTTTATTACTCCTGTAGTCAATAAATCTCCTATCATGACATCTAGAGCTGCGGCTTTTTCCGTGGAAAGGGGACATTGCCTGACATATACTCGCTTTTTGTTTTTTTTTAGCTGTGCGTGATAAGGTATGCAGTCAATAAATCCTATATCATTCTCACTTTTAGACCACAATGTCATATTCTGGTATTCAGCTGGCAACATAAGTGCAGAAATAGTACAGTCGATAGGGTAGGTTAGATCTATGTGACGACATATTTCGTAACCTATGTCTGAGTTATGTAACAAAATCACTGTTTGACCTTCACTTGTGTGAGCAGTTATCATGTTGTTGAACAGTGTGAGAGAAACAAAAGTGTGGCTCCCAGTCATGGGATTACCTGTTAGTGGCGTCTGTACACGTTTTTTTTTTTTTTTGGCACAGTGTGTGACATAGAGTACCGGACAAAAGGATGTTGAGTTCATTCTCTGCTGAGGGTCCAGCTGACACAGAGGATGTTCCTTCTCCATCATGTCGGTACATAGGGCAGAGAAAACATAAGCTGTTATCAGTGTCAGCAAACATTTCACCCTTTATGTTAAATGAAATACACAAATTCATTTTTGCTTTGGGTGTCTGCGGCTGCTGGAAAACTGAGCTGAATTTGCACCTCTAGCTTGTCCAACAGTGCATAAAGCGTTTTATGAATACTAGGATAGATTCATCAGGCTTCTGTTTACACATAGTTACTGCATTTAAGTCACTTTTGTCTCTGGACATTGTTAGCAGGAATTTCTTTAGATTCTTAAAGAAATTGGTGATTTTGTCATTATTTACCCTCCTTTTGTCCATAGCGGTAACATTTGATGCATCACGTCGCGGCATTCTATCATATATTTTCTACAGGACTTTTTAAGCAGACTACTTTTCTTATCACAAATGATATTCAACATTTCTACTGACCTGTTTTCTGGCGATAATCGTTCGGGATAAGGCTCCGAAAAGAAATTAGAATGCATTGAACTTCTTAAGTTGTAAACAAAGTCAGTCACATAAGCACTCCCGCATGTTCTGGATACGTGATCATGGACGTCTTCACCGATTCGCGGACGTAGGTTACACGTAACCGGAAATGGGAGTTATACTGAGCCGTTATTTGAGACTTTATTTTGTATTTTATTAATTTTTGGTTTTACAGGTACTTTAGATTTTTTTATCGGACCTGTCTGTGGTCTTTGAATAATTCTGACCCATGTTCAGTGATTTCCAGAGGGGTTTACACGCTAGGAGGATTTAGGTTAGTATTTTCGCTGCGGCACAGCTGAGGTCACTTTAAATTTATTGCTAGCAATTTTTTGTTTGTGTGAGCAACTCTCACTTAGCGAGCAACTTCTCGCTTAACGAGCAACTTCTCGTAAAACAACAGGCAACTTCCTGTGTCTTTCTGCTTTTAATTTACTGCTTTTAACCCTTGTATGGTAATCGGGTCTGTGAGACCCGTTCAACTTCTCCCTGTGTCACTCTTTGGTGAGCAACTTCTCACTTAACGAGAAGTATTTAAGACAACAGGCAACTTCCTGTGTCACTCTTTGGTGAGCAACTTCTCACTTAACGAGAAGTATTTAAGACAACAGGCAACTTCCTGTGTCACTCTTTCTGAGTGAGCAACTTAAAATATTCAAGACAACAGGCAACTTCCTGTGTCCACCAACACCACACAAGGGTTAATTTACTTTATTCGGGGACTGAGGAAGTCAGTCAGTGTATCTCTCTGGATCACTAAGTGAAACTTCGTCAGCATATCCCGTTTTTTTATGGATCGATCACTGAGAGAGGTATAATAGGTCTTTATATAAATATGAAAGACGCATATTTACCTTCTGTCAGCATCCCACTTCTGACACCAAAATTGAAGGAAATTGCCTTCCCGGGTTTCCTCCGTGGCGTGAGCGATAAGCAGAGTTCTGTCCTTTCCTTCTAAGATTCCTAATTATTTAAAGTAACACTCAGGTATGCCATTCAGCGTGTTAGTACGAGCTCGGGAGCAGCTTGGGAGAACAAGAAAACAGAGACTGCTTTAGGTTGCCTTCCCAATCGACTCAAAGGTTTATTTGATACACAGCAGTTTATATAGATGAAAAAAGGTTCGTGTGTCAGCTTTCCCAGTTCAAACCGGTACAGACCAAATAAGGAAACGTCTTCCTGCCTTGTGAGCCAAGAAGTATCCTGTGTGTAGTTTATCAGTTCAGCTACAATTTATGATCATCCCAGCAAAATACACTCCTAGACATAGAATACAGAGTTCTTTCATCAGTGAATTCTGAAACGAACCACCTAGCCTTTAACGAGCCTTTTCCAGGAGAAAAAGAAAAAGGGAGGATGGGAGTAAGGAAGTGGTCTCATCTCTGTGGTGTTTTCGACCTTGAGGTACCAGCCTGTAAGTCTTACACATTAATTCTTGGGTCACAGAGAAAGAGAAAAACAACTAGTAGATCGGCCTTATTGAGTAACAGTTTTCCTGTATAAAACAATATCCTGTAAATGCTTACCGTGGTATCAAAATATCATAACATAACCTAAAACTTAAAACGCTGGGTCAAAAGACCCAGGATCGTGACAGTGGGAGGTTGAAGCCTATCCCAGCTGCCACAGGGCAAAAGCAGGACAGGCTGCCAGTTTATCACAGGGCTAACACAATATATGTGATAGAAAATCAACTGAAATGTTTGATATTTATTTATAATAATAAGAGAATAACTACTATTTATAATAATATTATAGTTGTTGTTATAAAATGTATTTATAAATATGTGTATATTTTTTATAACACCCAACATAAAAGGCTTCTTTCCAAACCTGAGCTGTTTCAGACGCTTCTTGAAATTCTGACTTCTCTGAACTCAGTGTAAGGTGTCTGCTCCCTCACTGCGGCTGTGCCTGGAAGTACTTCTGCTTCTTGTCTTCCCCTAATGCAGCTTTAAAGTATTAAGTATGAAGCAACAGTGCTTCTCTTTGCGCCTCTGAAATCTGTGTTCTCTCTACTGATAAACAAAAGAAACAATGTAAAATGTATTAATAAATCAGTAACAAAAATATAGCGTAGAAGGTAAGTAGAGATTTTCATACCATCTTCAAGCCTAATGCTTTTAAGTCCCACACTCAATGCAGCCTGACTCAAAACCTGATTCTAAATGGTTCAGCACAGACAGAGAGGCACAAATGTTTAGTATTAACCTAAGTTACTGATCATTTACAGTATTACAGAGTCTATCAGTCTTTGCATGATGTAAACATTCCTGTAAGTTTCTAGCTGACTCTCAGGTGTCACAGGTGTGCCAGCAGGAAAGAGGGTCAATAAACCTGCATCCTGAAGTTTGTCATGCAGGATTAAAGGAGCCAGACTTTGTTCACACAGGTAGAATTTTATTTTACACTGACTCTGGGTAAGTATGAGTATCATACGGTTTAAATGAAGCGCAGAAATTTATTATAGATCCATTGAAGCTAATCGGGATCTTTACTGTGAATCTGTGGATGCGATTAACCATGTTACTGGTAACTTCATTAACTAGTAACTTAGCAACTTAGTCATAACAGGAGTCAATATTTCTGTCTAGACACCATTTAAATAGTAACCGCTTTGAACTACTGTTCTTTGAACTAGGAGGCTGTGAGAGTCCGAGGTCCTCACTTAGGCCGGTTTACGCGTAACCCGGGGCCCGTCCGGCTAAGCCCTCCCCTGCGAAGAGCAGGAGAAAGGAGCAGAAGGAGGTCGCAGGACGGGGAAGCAGGAAGTGTCCGAAGTCCTCACTTAGGCCGGTTTACGCGAACACTGCCGAGAAGGAGAAATTGATGATGATGATGATGATGATAATGATGTGAAGTTGAGAGTTGTTTGCTCCAGCGGTTCGGTTCAACCAGGATGATGGGCGTGGAGGGGCAGTGGTGACGGACCTCAGGGTACCACTGGCAGAATACAGAGTAAAGGAAAACTAAATAAGAGGCAAGAAAGGGGAACACGCAAAATCAAGGAACGTGTTAGAGGTAAAAAACAGAATCAAAGGTGGAGGGAGATGAAGCTCTGATGCTAGGTGTTACAGAAAGGTGGATGAAGGCATGAAAAACAAATGATATGCTGTAGCTATTAAAGATGAGAGAAATACATCATCCAACTTTCACCCACAGCATCAATCATTCATTCACATCAATTATTAGACCTGTTTAGGCTTTTTCTCCATTTTGTAATCCAAGTACCTATTATTTTTCTCTATAATAAATTACTGCTTTTGTTCCGTTTGTTCTTTTTTACATTTTGTTCCTTGGCAGCTGAGAGACAGGCCTCATAAAAAACAGCCAAAACTCACCTTAGCTCTGACGTTCTCATAGGATGCCGGGCTAACCAGGGAGAAGCAGATTAGGAAAACATCTTGGATGGAGAGACAAGGAGACAAAGAATTAGAATAGCTGCTGCAGTTTTAATTAGCTGACATGTTATATAAGTTCTGTCTGTGTAACTTTATGTCCATTAGTTATTGTGTGTGCATGTGTGAGTCTGTACGGAGCGGAGCCTGTCATAATCTTCCTGTCCAGCTGTATCCCAGAGGCCCAGGTTGACCGGCTTGCTGTCCACCATCACATTAGCTGAATATTTGTCGAATCTGTGGAGAGAGTAGAGAAGGTCAGCGATCAGCCAACAAGTCATAGGCAACCTTTCATTTCATTGGTTATTCATTCATTCAACAATCTTTCAATTCACTGATTGTTTAACCAGTGAAACTCCTGTAATGGAGAAAAAAACAGGACCATACTTGAAATACCACTGTTCACAAAAACATTAACCAACAACATTACTTTGGTTAGTTTGACACAAAAGCCATCCTAACCATGTCTAGTAAGAGAGAATAATACATAATAAGGCAGGGCTGCCCCCGTGTGGTCTCATAGTAGAATAACAGTTTAATTTCTCAATTTTAAAAACTTGAGAAATTTCATCCAAAATGTATTCAGGCTCAAATGAAACTGATAACACAGATGTTTGCAGACACATTTGTTTTTTTTTTTAAAGAAAAAAAGAGACTAGTGTACCAGATTAATCCTGTTTTATGGCCTGTCCGAGGTCTACCCCGCCCTTTGCCTAATGACAGCTGGGATGGGCTTCAGCCTACTTAATGACCCAGTAGTTAAAAAGATGGATGGATTTCCTGAAATAGAAAAGTCACTGAAATAACGTAAACTGTCAAACATAGAACAACTATGACAAACAGTCAACACTATCTGAGATCCTGCTGGTGGTTAGGGAGGATATACGTGATTCTGTTTGTTGTTTAAACATATTTATAGAGTTAAGAGTTCAGATTGCTGGAAGAACAACATTCACGCAGTCTGATTGCTGTTTTTCTCCCAAAATGTAGAAACACCTGCTAACCATGGCACACTCTGCTTTTCCATTAGGTCTGTGCAAATACTACTTAAATACACTCATCCTCCTGTGCCATTAGTGATATTAACAGAGTGTAGTCCATTTACATCTATGCATATGTTGGCAGATTTTCTGAGTAATGTAAGTTTAGGAGGACGTCACTGTGGAGAGGAGTGAGGTTCTTTTTTTTTTTAAACAAAAATAACCGAGACAGAGTTTTAGTGTGGAAGGAGCCATTATGTTCCCAAAGTTCAATTATGTTTACCACAGATGCAGCAACATGATTCACAATGAGTCAACATGAGAAATGTTAATCATGACTGCAAAAAGATTAGCAACTGTGAAAGTGGAAGATGAAAAGTTATAACCTTGTTTACATAAAAACAAGTTACAGTAACAGTGTATACACACACTGATGCAGATACCGATCAGGGATACCATTATGACCACAGGCCACAGGTCCCCCTTTTGATACCAAAACAGCCCTGAAGCATGGACTCCACTGGAGCCCTGAAGGTATGCTGTATCTGCAACAAGATTCTAGCAACAGATCCTTTAAGTTCTGGAAGTTGCGAGGTGGGGCCTCGGAGCTTCTCAACCTTAAACATGTTGTTGTACTCTTTAAACCAGTCCTGAAACATGTTTGCGTTGCTGAAAGAGGGCACAGCTATAGAGGCCATGTATTTCTGTTGCTCCGTGGTTCAGTTCTGATGCTCATGTGCCCATTTTTGGTGCTTTCATGAATGTACAGAGGTCAGCATGGGCACCCTGACTGGTCTGCAGCTATGCAGCCTCATGCACTGCACATGACCCTGTTGCTGGTTCACCACTGCTTTTCAACCTGTTTATAATGAACAGAAGAAAGCTGGCTTAAAGTGAGGATGGCTGTTATAACCCTAGCAGGCTCCCACAGGTTCAGCTGCCGCCCATTTCTCCTGAGGAGCCAGTGTATAGCTGGATACAAGCTTGTGGAGAGCTTCTCGGTGTACGCCAGTGTCAGTACTGTGGTGACCTTAGGTGTTTGTTTCCCAGCCTGCAGAGGCTTGTGTAGTGATGTGCTTTGACGTATTGACGATGAGTTTAGCGCTGTGTTTGAGCTAGTAGTGAGCAGCCAGTGCCCTATGTGAGAGTGAAGTTTTTCTTTGATTAACCATTTCTTGTCTTTTCAGCAGATTCTAGTCTGTTGACATCCTTTGTTGGAGTGATATAACAGTATAGTTGACTCGTTATCTCTCCCCTGAGCTTATCATTGTTAATCCCCTCATCCCCTAGCCCTTTCCTGAGGGTGTAAGAGTGGCCTTAAAGGAAATGGCTTTTTTTAGACAGTGGATGAACAGTTAAATCTCAATCATAAAATGTCAATCAAGTAGATCAACATTAGTTGACTGAAGCCACAATACTCTTAAAACAGTTTGCAGCTGAAATTGGTTTACTTGTGGATTCTAGTTTGATTTAAGTTGGCCATGACACTAATGCTGCGGTGTTTTAATCAACAATAAAAGGCTCCTACTTCACTATTGCCCATCTGAGTTAGACTATGTAATATTTTTAGAAAAGAGCATTGAATAGACTACACTTTCTCAAAAATGTCTCCAACTTCCTCCTTTATCTTAAAAGCTCAAATTATTTCAGTGTTACTCTAAAAGTCATACCTTGATGACGATCAGCAGGTAGCACAAGCAGATGACCAGCAGGGGGCAGAAGAATCCAACAGTGCACGTGTAGACAATAAACGATGTCTTCCACACTTCTGTTGGTTCAGGCCATACGATGCTGCAGTTCCCATCATCCTTCAGCACATCCGCAAACACCACTACCAGCAGCACCACCACAAAGGACCCCACCCAAACGGTGCCACTGATAGCCTTAGCCACGTGGGGGCGCCGCCACCAAGAAGAGCGGATGGGATTCACCACAGCCAGGTATCGGTCCACTGACATCACAGTTAGACAAAAGATGCTGGTAAACTGGTTGATGGCATCCACTGTCATAACCACTCGGCACATCAGAGAGCCGAAAGGCCACGAGAGCAAAGTGTTCTGTACCGCCAAGAAGGGTAGGCCCAGCATGAAAAACTCATCTGCAATGGCTAGATTGGGGATGTAGATGTTTGTGACTGACTCGTGTTTTGTGTAGTTGACAACAACATGGATGACCAGAGTGTTTCCCACCAAGCCAATGACACAAACGATGCAATAAATGAGTGGGATGAAGATTCCAGCCAAGCCAGGGAGGGATCCTGGTTTACTTTTGGTGCAATTTTGACAGGAGCTGTTAAGGAGAAACGAAGTGTCATCTTGGTTGAAGCTGTGAAGCGGTTTGGAGGGAGCAGAAAGGAGCAGGAAATGAGAGTAGGAGGGGGCAGAGGTGTTGCTCCAGGTAGCTGTAGGGACTTCCTGAGGCAGCAAACAAACTGGATGAGCTCCATTGAGGCGTTAACGACTATCAGGCAACAGTTGTTGGTAAGCTCACATCAGTAGAAGATCAGCAGCCCTACAGAAAGCAAAGTTAATTAATTTAGCACACTTCATGTGGACATGAAATATAAAGCAATTAATGCATTAAAGGTGTATTCTAACATTTTGGAGATGTCCAGTTAACCAACTCTTCCAACAAATCAGCCGTGTTGGTTGTTTGTCCACTGAAATGTGTCTGTAAAGCTATAAAGTTTGTTCTGGGACCTTTCCTGAGTTCTGTTTTCAGTTTCTGTTTGAGCAGATCTGTTGTTGGAGAAAATGCTTCATCCTTTGTAGCATCCTTTACATCAGGGGTCCCCAATCCCAGTCCACGAGGGCCGGTGTCCCTGCAGGTTTTAGATGTGTCCTTGATCCATCACAGCTGATTTAAATGAATAAATTACCTTCTTAACATGTCTTGAAGTTCTCCAGAGGCCTGGTAATCAACTAATCATGTGATTCAGGTGTGTTGACCCAGGGTGAGATCTAAAACCTGCAGGGACACTGGCCCCCGTGGACTGGGATTGGGGAACCCCGCTTTACATGGTGGAATACACACAGCACACAGTTTGCATGCAATTATACACACTGCAGCAAACTTGTTGCTTAACTTTAAAATATAAATATAGTACATAATAATAGTTTTTGTCAAAGTATAGAATTTATGTAAAACCCTTAGGAGTAAGAAAGGTGCTAGGTGTTATTTAGCTTAGATTAGCACCTGGATTATCATTAATGTAACGTTAATCCAGGTCCATGAAACTCCAACTAAACTGCATTATAATTGTGTTTTAGAGTTTTAGAGGAAACATCTAGGCTGACTGTGTAAAGGTAACAGATTTCCCATCACGTCTTAGATTGTTCTTTGCTAGTATGGACTTTAAATTATTATTGGATAGACAGCAACTTGGGAAGTCTTGTTACCTTGAGGTTGCCTGGAGACAGCCGGCACTCAAGTGCTGTATTGTTCTTGGTTTCAAGTGGGCAGGAGACTTTTGCTGCATGTTTAGTGTTTATGTGTTCTCTGTAAAACTCACAAGTGACATTTTTTTGCATCTAGACATCTAGACAACAATACTATATAAATTAAATAAATGCCAAGCGGATTTATTTTACCAAGTGGATCATCATGGCCTTGCCATATTGGTCCATTTGATTGACCTTTATTATAATTATGAATTTATTTTATTTTCAGTTGCTACAAACGGGACAGACATGACTGGGGGATAGGACAGGGAGAAAGAATGAAAGAAAGAGAGGGAGAGAAAGAAAACCAAAGGGGAGAAGAGACGGTGAGAAGGGGGGGGAGAAAGAAAAAAAACAACAAAAAAAAAACACCTGGGTCACCTGTATGGAGAAAAAAAACACAAGAGAAAGCAAACAACAAAGAGCAACATAATAAAAAAAAACAGCACCATCACAATAAACTAGCTAGCAGTAGATATCAGTAGATACTAAATAATAAACGATATTGTGCAGCACGCAAGATAGACAGCGCACAATGTGCTTTGAGGCAGCAGCCAAGAAAGCTGTAGTCCGCGTCTGTGAATACCCGTGTGTACACCTGTGTGCATACCTGTGTGGATCAGCATGCTTGTATTCATATTGTTCAGTTATGCAATATGGAACTGAACTCTGAGGGTCCACTGAGCCTATCGCGTCTGATTAATTCTGAGGCTGTTGCTCTTTTCTCTGCGGCCTTTGCTAACTCTTTCTGTTATGATGACATCAGTAATGCACCTCTCTCGGTTGATGGCGTAGTCAACTCTTTTATTTCTACATGTTCTTCTATTTTGGACACTGTGGCTCCAGTAAAGACCAAACGCCGTAAAACCTCTCGCCAACTTTGGCTAAATGAATCCACCCTCGCTCTTAGACGTGAATGTCGTCGAGCTGAGAGGAGATGGAAAAAAGATCAACTTCAGGTGTCCCTTGACATCCTGCATATGAGCCGGTCTAAATTTCAGAAGGCTGCCAAAATGGCAAAAACTTCTTTTTTGTCAAACATTATTGCGACTAATAGTCACAATCCTCGAGTTCTGTTCAAAATCTTTAACTCAGTGGTTAATCCCTGCTCTGACGTTTCGATGGGTGCCTCCCCGGCCCTCTGCGAAAAATTTCTAAATTATTTTATAGATAAAATCTCGGTGTTAAGGGCCCCACATTCTCCAGTAGTAAATCAAGCCCCAGTTTCTGAATGTTCAACGGTTTTTCAACAGTTTGAACCTGTGTCATTCTCGACTTTAAAGGAAATAATTAATAACCTGAGAAGCTCAAATTCTCTGCATGACATTATTCCTTCTCGTATCATTAAGAATGCATTGAATACAATCGGGTCCTGTATCTTATTTTTAATGAACTCATCACTGTCATCTGGCTATGTTCCGACTGTCTTTAAACATGCAGTCGTGCAACCTGTTATCAAGAAAAGTAGCCTTGATCGTAACACTCTAGCAAATTACAGGCCGATTTCTAAACTCCCCTTCATGTCAAAAGTTTTAGAGAAAATAGTGCTTCAGCAACTACAGACCCACTTAGAGAGAAACGGTATAAGTGATAAATTCCAGTCTGGATTTAGACCGCGTCACAGCACCGAAACTGCCCTACTAAGAGTCTTCAATGACCTTCTTCTAATCGCCAACTCTGGGCGCTCTGCTATGGAAGAAATATAGTATCATCAGAATTCAAGTATTTTTAGACATTGAATTTATGACACTGAATTTTTATCCTCCAAATTTCCCTGCAAAAATATTCACCTGCAAAAATTCACCTGCAAAAATTCACCTGCAAAAAATTCACCTGCAAAAATTCACCTGAAAAAAATTCACCTGCAAAAATTCAACTGCAAAAGTGATGAACTTTAATGACCCAAGCCAGAGCAATCAGCACCAGATCGAGTCGAGTGGCTCTCAGCCAATTAAATTACGCTGTTTGATCACATGACACCGTTAGCCAGCAGTGTGTCTCCTAAAAGAGAGCTGTTTAAAGGTGAGTGATTAAGTTTTTCTCCTAAATAGAGATCATTACAGAACGCCTAGTCCTACTTAAAATCCCATTTATTATTATTATTTTTTTTATCATCTACTCGAACTAAGGAAAACGTTTGACTAACTCAAAGACAATTTCCACGCCTCCCCTGCCTGACTGCAGAGGCAGTTTTGAATTTAGGAGCGCCAAGATGGCAGCGGCAAACCCTGGCGGCTCTCCGGTGAGTATATATATATATTTTTTTATCTTCAAGTTTGTCTTTTGAAACCTTAATTTTATTTAAATCCGTTGCTCACGTATAAAGTACACAGACGGGGTCTTTGCTCAACTCGTCTGAGGCGTGTCTCACTAAGCGCTACATGCTAGCATCCTGCTAACCGAGCTACCCTTTACATGCTGTGCTTTAGAAAATAGGATACTCGTTAAAAAAAATACTCCGCAGATATTGATAGATAGACGAACACTGCAAATATAATGTTGGAAACGAGAACGGCCTTTGGTGAAGGGGTAAAATACACCATGAATAGAGCCATAGAGTGAATGGCTGCCATGGTTGCAGAACAGCCTGATTTAATGACAAGAATGGGGAAGAGTGAGGTGAAGTGAACCACAGCCACAAAACACGGTCAGACAAGGCGGCAAAAGGGCAGTGATCTGTCCGTCAGTATGAAGTTGGTGTGTGCTTTGGTGAACAAAAACTCCAGACTGGTAGCAGGAAGATGGGAGACTCGTGTTTCACTGGAATAGTGGTGAATTAAAACATCCTTTGTTGGGGACATTTCGGTGTAAATGCATCCATACAGGCAAGACAGAGGCAGACTAGACAGTGAAGAAAACAAGGCAAACATTAGAAATATAAAAACGGAAATATAGGATGAGTCGGGGATGAGTTCCTGCCCCAAGTGGAGGAGTTCAAGTATCTCGGGGTCTTGTTCGCGAGTGATGGGAGAAGGGAGCTGGAGATCGACAGACGGATTGGGGCTGCAGCTGCAGTAATGCGGACGCTGCACCGGTCCGTCGTGGTGAAGAGGGAGCTGAGTGTAAAAGCGAAGCTCTCAATTTACCGGTCGATCTACGTCCCTACCCTCACCTATGGCCTTTACATGACTAACGTCCCCTCTTCTCCCTACCTCACATTAGCCCCCATCTTTCTTCCAGGTGGAAAAGACCCGTCACCTTCTGGGAGAGGCGGCTCCCGTGGGAACAGCTCCCACCACCAAGTCCCTGAGTGAGTCTCTGTCCCCCAGCGTGAGCTCCGGCACTCTGTCCACGTCCACCTCCGCCTCCTCGCAGATCTCCAGCACCACCTTTGAAAGCGTGAGAAGGAGCTGGCCACCAAGGTGAGAAAAACGTGGGCTTAGTGGGCGTTCTTGTTGCTGCCTTCTTCCTTCTCTGCTCGGAGCTGATCGGTCTTGTTCCTGTTGTGTTGTAGTGCCTGCGCCTTCTGACACACACCTTCAATACTGAATACAACCAGCTGGTGAACAGCATCAGTGACTGCAAGGTGAGAAATAATACAAAGAAATTAAAAAATAGCCTTTCTGTGTCACATCAGGGAGTTCCTATATTGACGTCTACCTCATCCTGCTGTTGTTTCACTTCAGCTTTCTCTCATCTCACCGATCGGACGTGATCCATCCGTGACGAGCTTCAGCAGTGCCACCCTCACCCCTTCCTCTACCTGCCCCTCTCTCGGACTCCCGCTGTGGCTCCATGGGCCAGAAGTAAACATATTTTTAGGAACATTGACCTCGATCTGCAAACGGTTATTGACAGGTTATCCATTTGATTCTAACTTGGTGTGATTTGTGTTAAAGGACCCCTGAGAACAGCTCACGTGCCTCCAGTCCCTCCTGCTCAGACTGTGAAAACTTCCCGATGGTTCCCACTCTGGAGACCTCCTACCTTGCGCGGGCTGCAAAAGAACGAGTTCCTGAACTTGGTGCCTGATATTGAAGAAATGCGACCAGGGTGAGTAATGCCATATTAACCCAAATACTGTCACTATGACATGTGTCTCACAGACCAAATGTAAGTCGACACTCATGTTCTCTAGTTCAAGCAGAAATGATGTGGATCGATTCAAATTCCTGAGCCTGGATGATTTCAGCTGGAAACAAACCAACTCTGCTTCTTCCTCAGGTAATTCAATTCAATGTTATTTATATAGCGCCAAATCACAACAAAAGTCGCCTCAAGGCGCTTCATAGATACAGAGAAAAACCCAACAATCATATGACCCCCTATGAGCAAGCACTTTGGCGACAGTGGGAAGGAAAAACTCCCTTTTAACAGGAAGAAACCTCCAGCAGAACCAGGCTCAGGGAGGGGCGGGGCCATCTTCTGCGACCGGTTGGGGTGAGAGAATGAAGACAGGATAAAAGACATGCTGTGGAAGAGAGACAGAGGTTAATAACAGATATGATTCAATGCAGAGAGGTCTATTAACTCATACTGAGTGAGAAAGGAGACTGGAAAGGAAAAACTCAATGCATCATGGGAATCCCCGGCAGCCTACGTCTATTGCAGCATAACTAAGGGAGGATTCAGGGTCACCTGGTCCAGCCCTAACTATATGCTTTAGCAAAAAGGAAAGTTTTAAGCCTAATCTTAAAAGTAGAGATAGTGTCTGTCTCCTGAATCCAAACTGGAAGCTGGTTCCACAGAAGAGGGGCCTGAAAACTGAAGGCTCTCCCTCCCATTCTACTTTTAAATACTCTAGGAACAACAAGTAAGCCTGCAGAGCGAGAGCGAAGTGCTCTAATAGGGTGATATGGTACTACAAGGTCATTAAGATAAGATGGGGCCTGATTATTTAAGACCTTGTATGTGAGGAGCAGGATTTTGAATTCAATTCTGGATTTAACAGGAGAAATCTGCTCTCTCTTTCTAGTCCCTGTCAGGACTCTTGCTGCAGCATTTTGGATTAGCTGAAGGCTTTTCAGTGAGTTTTTTGGACATCCTGATAATAATGAATTACAGTCGTCCAGCCTGGAAGTAATAAATGGTAAATGCCCTGTATTTATATAGCGCTTTACTAGTCCCTAAGGACCCCAAAGCGCTTTACATATCCAGTCATCCACCCATTCACACACACATTCACACAATAAATGCATGAACTAGTTTTTCAGCGTCACTCTGAGACAGGATATTTCTAATTTTAGAGATGTTGCGCAAATGGAAGAACGCAGTCTTACATATTTGTTTAATATGTGCGTTGAAGGACATGTCCTGGTCAAAAATGACTCCAAGGTTCCTCACAGCGTTACTGGAGGCCAAGGTAATGCCATCCAGAGTAAGAATCTGGTTAGATACCATATTTCTAAACTTTTCAGGGCCGAGTACAATAACCTCAGTTTGATCTGAATTAAGAAGCAGAAAGTTAGCGGCCATCCAGGTCTTTAAGTCTTTAAGACATTCCTGCAGTGTAACTCATTGGTGTGTGTTATCTGGCTTCATGGACAGATAGAGCTGGGTGTCATCTGCATAGCAGTGAAAATTTATGCTATGTCTTCTAATGATGCTGCCTAGGGGAAACATGTATAATGTAAACAGAATTGGTCCTAGCACTGAACCCTGTGGAACTCCATAATTAACCTCAGTGTGTGAAGAGGACTCTCCATTTACATGCACAAATTGGAGTCTATTAGATAGATATGTCACAAACCCAACTGTACACTGGTAAACTGTTACAATAAAAAAGACCGTAATTTTCTTTACTCTTCTTTATTTATGTAACTTTTGTTTTCACTGGCAATTTAGTGTTAGGTTAGGACAAAAAACAAATTAGGAAGGTTAAAGACAGAACATTACTAGATTGTGGTTTTAATTAAAATGTAGCCTTTGACAATGCTGAACACATGAGAAGCTACTTTAAGGCATATCACCCAATTTGTAATATTGCTAAACATTTCTTAAGGCAGACAAGTTATGCTGGCTGGGTCAGTGTCATTTTTGTTGTAATTGATGTCTGGTTTGTTCTGTTCCCTAGTGATGGGTAGGGATGGGTACCAGTATCCGGTGTTCTGACATAATCCTTGAAATAGTAATAACACAGTATCCTCAGCAAAGATGAATTAAACAAGTTTTATTTTAATGGAAGTTTACTTCAAGTCTTCAGATTTTTACTGTCTTTTATTTGATTACTTTAAAGTATATGATTACATTAGAGTAATTAAATAAAGACAGTTTTGATGGAGCTCCTGAGCCAGCCCAAGCTCTCTATGAAGACGAGGAAAAACTCCCCTGGGGGGCCAGACTGACGGGAAGAAACCTCGGGAAAGCCCATTCAAAGAGAGATCCCCTTTCCTGGGATGGCTGGGGGGGTTACAGGAATTCCAAAACACTGAAATTTAAAGTGGGCCAATTAAAAAAAATTATTTCCTGAAAAAAGAAAGGTAATTCATACATCACACATAAATGATAACGTCTGAATTGTGTGTGTTTGTGTGTGTGTGTGTGATAGGCTTATCTCAGCCAAGTGTGATGCTGTAGCTCCTCCAGCGTCGGCCGCGTCTCCGGGACTTTGGTTAAACAGGCGTCCAAGAAATCCCGGCAGTCTGGAAAGAAAGGAAAGAGAAAAAACATGAAGATGATAGTTCCAGTGGTCCAAGCCATCAGTCAGTCTTGAAGTGTGACGTTTTCTTACTTTTGGACAGATGTCTTTTGAATTTCAGGCGCTTTTTGAGGAAGCTCGTGGTGTTAAAGTCCCCGGCATGAAGCGCTTCGTACAGAACCACTCCCATTTGCCATACCGTGGTGGGTCCACACCTGTAGCAACTGCGCCCGTACCACTCGGGAGGGGAGTAAATTTCTGTACCTAATAAACAGACACAATTGCAATTTCTTCTAAAACAAAAGGCGAAAATTGTGACATCTGTGAAGAGCAAGAGCAGAATATGTTACCATAGAAGACGCGGTACTGCGACTGCTCCTTAACAAAGCAGCTCAGTCCAAAGTCGATGATACGAACACGCGGTACATCTGAGCCGGTCTCAATTAGAATGTTCTCACTCTTGATGTCCCGGTGAAAGATGTGTTTATCCTCCAGGTGCTTCGCAGCATCAACCAGCTGCTTCAGAATGACCTGGAAATAGAGCAGGGCGATATGACCAAAAATATTTATCACGATATACATTTGAAAAGTTGTGATAACGATATAACTGACGATATAACTGACGATATAACTGACACTAGACAAAATACTTTACAACTCCACAACTTTATTAGTGCAAAAAACCCCATAAATGTATTTTCACTTAAACAAGCAGCTGTTTTTTTATGTGCATTAAAGTTATATAAAATGTAACAGTGCAAATGCAAATTCCTTGCTGACAGTTTAACCAAAAGGCATTTCCAGTGGAAATTGGCCGACATATCCTCAGCATAACCATGTAAAATATCCACAAAGCTTAAAAAGAGGTTATTCACACACAATACGGTAATATCACGTTGAGGTGCAGTACGTATCACTCCGCGAGGCGCCTGCCTACGATAGCCGTAATGCTCCGACAATCCATCGAGCGGTGCGGCTTTGTAGCTTAGCAAAGTCGCCGTGTACATAAAATCGTTTTGAGGTCAGTAAACACAACCAGAATTCATACATAAGGCACACGGGATTATAAGGGGCACTGTCGAGTTTCAGAAAAATCAAAGGATTGATTTTAAGTGTGCCGTATTTTCCAAACAACACGGTAATAACGGCGGCCCGCTAGCATGCGCTACCAAAAATCGTGCTTTGTTGTGTATCTGACGGACGAAAGCTAAACCAGTTCCACACCACTAAAGTTGCAGCATTTTTACAAACCAGTTCTGGTTCATCCGTTTCATTCAACGATCCACTTTTGCTCTTCTCTTTCTGCGTCACCGCCATCTGCGTATGTAAACATAGGCACTGCGCATGCGCGTTTTACCTATTCTAGCGCGATATTTCATTTTCCTATCGTTGCCCAAAATTACACCGGTATTACCGTGAATGGTATGATATAGCCCAGCCCTACCTGGAAACGATGAAAAAGACAATAATCAATCAATGGGTTAATGTTTCTCTAATACTCTGTGCTTTGATTGAATGATGTACAGTCTAAGACTCTTCTAAGGCAAGTCAACTTGCCTTGGCCTTGTCCTCTGGCAAAAATCCTCCATTTTCTTCTATGTATTTATCCAGGTCCACAGCGGGGACAGGTCTCTCCATCACCAGGATCAGCTCTCTGCCAAAGTCAAACCACTCCAACAGAGACACTGGGGCTGATGTTTCCACTGATCCATCTGCTTCAGCTGCAAGCTTCAGCATGATGGCAACTTCCACTGACACATTCTTCCCGTTATCATCCTGAAATATTTCAACAAAGTGGATGATGAGGCACAGACGTTCCACAGGTGAACGCTGCATGCAATCCACTAATGTAAAAACAATTCAAGTCTTGCACATTTACCTTCACTTTGCAGTACACTTTCCCCTTTGGGATGTGTTTGATGGCCACCTAAAAGACACAGGGCATTGATGAGCATTTCCTCAGTATGACATCATTAAAGGTGTAAAACAGCATACATCTCAGCTTACGATATTATCCCTTATCTGCATTACTGCCTGTCTTACTACCACCATCTGAACACTTACTGGTAAATGATCCTTTATGCGGTAGCCAGAAAACACTGCTCCACATCCTCCTTCTCCAAGCCGGTGCTCCTCCACGTATCTCGCTTGGAAGTCACCTAAACAGACAAACACAAATTGGGTTTTACTACAGCTGTCACACAAATTACTCTCTGCTGTACCCTAAATGTTCATTTTGCTCTTCACCTGAATATAAAAGCTAAGCTGCTTGCTACTTACGTTTCTGTTCAGCCACTGACTTTTTGGCAACGGTTTTGGTTTTGTCCTGGTCCACGTTCTTTTTCTTAGGTGGGTCCCTGGTGTCTCCCGCAGCTTTCCTTTTGCCAGCCTTTTTGTTTTTACTGCAGCTCTCTGAAATCTCTATGCTGCAGTCTGCAGATGTGGAAAACACCAAAAGCACGTCAGCTTATTAGATAATAGACACAAATATCTCCCAAACACTAATATCTTCAAACTAGCAACCAGATGTACACTTAATCTACCCCTCACTCAACTAATTAGCCTACCTTTACCAGTGTCCAACCAGGAAGATGCCTGCCCCTTGTCACCGCTCACATGCTCAAGAAGTTTACGCTTCTTTGCTGTATTGGTTGTCCCCGCTTCATCTTGTTGGACCTTTCGCTTAACTCCCCCGACCACATGAGCATCTGAGCTGGTGGAAGGACCAGCCTGCTCAGTGACCCTCCTTCTTTTTATGGGGGTCGTTTTTTCAGGACTGGCCTTTCTTTTAGCCATCCTGCTCTTACAATCTATAAACAACAACAACACATTAGTGAAAAAGAGCGCTCGACATCAGGACTAGAAGGATTTTGATGTCATTGAATTTTAAATTAGTATTGCTTACAATATAACAACAAGTTTATCCTTTTGATAAAAAAAACACACCAACACGAGTCCATATTAGGTCTACTAAGTCTAGATACTGATGACACTTGTTGCTCTGTTTTCACTGCTCAGTCCAAGAATAAACTTGTCACATTATTTTACCAAAAGACAAAGTGCCCCAGTAACCTTTCTTTGATTAGACATGTTGCACTCAGGTTAGTTTCAATCAAAACCAGGATTTAAATCCTCTAAAAATGAATCATTTTATACACAGAGCCTCAACATTGTTAGAAATGTACATTCTGTTATTTGGGGGATTTTTTTTTTTTACTTACTTTGATCTCCTGGATCTTTCTTATCTGCCTCAGTCGTAACTTTTCTTGTTTCCTTTTTCATCTTAATTTTTTGAGAACTTTTAAAATAGAAAATGTCACCTTAATGAGTGAATAGTCCTTCAAATGTCTGGATGCTTGACTTTTCTAACTAAGCTGTATAAGTCAGTTCTGTAAGTGAGCTTTAAAAGTAAACTCCGGAGTCTATGGCAACACAACATTAGAACCTTGCCTTTTAGTGACATCACTAAAAGGCAGTGTCCCAAGTAGTTTAAAGAAAAACACTCTGGCATTTCATATAATTCCAGTAATTTCACATTAAAACTTTCTTTCATTATCCTTTCATTATTTGTTTAAAGACTTGATGTGTGGATGCTACTATGAAGACTTCTAGTTGAGCAAACACTAATAAACACTGACTAGTTTATCTGAGATAAAATATAACACTTTTTTATTAAGTCAGTGTTAACTCTGTTTTTTTCTGTTAGGATCATTCAATAGTATCAGAAGAGAAAGAAAAGTATGTTTTGTTTTGTTTTTTTTCTTCAAGATCTGTTCACATGTACTTAGCAAGAGTGAGTACACAGCGTTAAAAAATGGTACTTAGTGTAGTGAGGAAGGCGAAAAGCAAAGAGA